TTCTTTTTTAAGTTTTTCCTTTTTTTCCTCGAATATGTAAATTAATCCAGCATGGCAATAGAAAATAATAAAATTGGATAAAAAAGAAATAATTTAATTTGTTTCGAAATAGAAATAGGAAATTTCCATTGAGCCCTAAATTAACAAATTGGGTGGATGAGAAAAAACAGAATGAAATGAACAACTGTGCTCACGTATCCAGTTTTGAAACAAGAGGGGCCCCTTGAAAGAATGGTCACCCAGAAAAAAAGATACTTTCTTCTTACAAAACCTTGTGTGTGTGTGTTTGTGTGTGAGAGAGAGAGAGATGAGAGAGAAAGATGAGAGAGAGAGAGAGAGAGAGAGAGAGAGAGAGAGAATTTTTAGAGAAACGTGTGTGTCTCGTGAGGTCCAGTCATCTCTTGTCTTTCTTATCAACTTTTATCAAATCCTTATTTCATTATTTTTTGAAAAAGAAAAATAAAAAAAAAAAAAACAAAAAAAGCTTAGAAATATAATTACAAATTCAAAATAGATTCCAACATTATAGCCTTGTTTTCTTACACAAGTTTAACAAGCATTATAAAATTAGGGTAAATTACAACCATCTCCTTAACATAACATGTTTAGAAAATTACATTCAGATCCCTGTAGTTTGTATTTTTTTTTTACATCCACCCCTATGAAAGGGTGTTAATATAAAAAAAATTTAAAAATTTGAATGGGATATATTTAATTATTAAAAAATGTGGGTTTTTTTCATAAATAGAACTTAGGGGACAATTGTAGTTTACCCCTAAAATTATAATGTACAAGTCAAAATTAGAAAGTTTACTAAAAAATACGTAATTGGGCGAGAAAGGACATTTTTACTCATTCAATTATTATTAAAAATTAAAAAGAATTAAAGTTTCGAGAATTTGCAATATGATTGCTCTTAATTAGTTAATTAAAAAAAATAAAAAAAATAAATATATTAGTATTATCTTATCTCTGTATGTAAAGAAAGAGTAGTACAAAAGCAATAATG